CGGTGACGTGGTTATACAAGAAGGTGCTAGAGAGTAGCTCTTGCAAATATGCCTTGAACACCTCTGTCTCGGATGCTGGATTTTCCAAGTCATGGGTGTTGAAATCTCCTGCAACGAGGATGTGGCTGTACTTCTGATTAAGCACGGAGCGAAAAGCGGAGATAAGTCTGTTGTCCCTTTCCGGAGTGGATTTCGGTGGTCGGTAAACCACAGAGAGAAGGCATACGTCGTTGCGTTCCAACCACAGTTTGCACCAAAGGACGTCGGTGACACAAGTCTGGGGATCGTCTATGAGCTCACAACGAAGGTTCGTTCGGAAATAAATGAGCACGCCACCGCCCTTGCCCGTTCTGTCGTTCCGGAGAAGTGACATACCCGGTATGGCAATCTCAGCGTCTGTGATTTCGCCGCTCAGCCAGGTTTCGGTGATCATTATGATGTCTCGAGGCTCCGAAGCCAAACGGTGACGGAGTTCTACCAACTTACTTATGAGGCCTTGTGCATTAGTATACATGCAGGATAGTGCTTTTGTAACCAAGAGTGAGCTAGCACCGGTTGTGGTAGAAATGGAGTTTGTGCCGACCGTTAACGGGTCGGCCATTAACCGTTTTTTTGTGGTGAAGTTTGCCTTTGAGTTTGCTTTCGGTTAGACGACTGATCGCGGCCTTCCGGGCCCTGCTGGTCCCCCGTGTTCAGCCGTGTTTCGTGGGATATTGCGGTTGTTGATAAATCCATGCCTTCACAAAGTTGCATGAGTGGATGGTTCAACAATTTGATGGCTCCCCGTGAGTCGTTGGTAATCCGTGGCAGCGTACCTGATGCCTTTAACCGAATTTCCGCTGGCAGCTTCATGCGGAATTTGGACCAGTTTTCCAAGGCGAGCGGTAACATAAACTCAGATTGAAGCACCACCTTCATAAGTCTGGGACCGTTCCCTTTGTAGTTGGGTGAAAATGGAATCCTGGTCAACCGCTTAGCGATGATATTATTGAGGGAGATTTCGTGGCGGATGTAACTCCATTGCTCCCGGTCATGTGCATCCGCTGCATCAGAGGTTGAATTTTGGAGCTCAGGAACCCCGTACACAATTATCGTCCGTTTCGCCTCGGCTTTACGAACTTCTTCGCGGTTGCTCATCTTTTTCGGACGTTCGTTCCAGGGGATATCAGGAAGTATACGCGCCTCGAGTGATGAATGACAAAGCCTGTTGGACGATAGTAGAACTGCCTCTGTGTCCTTGATGGAGTTTAGTGTCACCCGGAGAAGTCGGGGTTCACCGTAGTGCGCTGAATTTGGATGACGTGTGACTCGTCTCAGCATTGCAGGTTCAACCGAAATGCCAATCGCAGTACATATAGACTTCCACTGATTACGATCATCCAACAGCTTCCCCTTTATTGTACTCGCCTGTGATTCAGGAACATTTGTACACACAACGGTTAACGCGCCTTGGCTCCTTGCGTTGGATGCAGATTTGCCATGACTTAAAGACACGGTGTTAAACGGATTGTTTGGTTGTTGGAGTCTGGTCAACTTACTGTTGCTTGGTGAGGCCACCGGAGTCGGAGGTAATTTAGCCGGTGTATGCATTGAGGCGACTGAGGCGTACGACGCCGGACTTTTCTCTACGGCGGAAGAGGTTTGCCCCGGAGCTTCCGCGGTTGCTGTTGAATGGAGGTGGGGCGTGTGACTCAAAGGTGTGGACATCAGTACTCTGGATGTTCGTCCGCTTTTGGGAGTTGAGTGAGGCAAGGGATTTGGAGAAACTGAGGCTGCAGCGCGACTTGAGCGTCTAGCCCTTTTTTTCGGCCTCGAGGTGGAGCTTTCTTTGACCGACTGTGGTACAATCATGGCCATATTCGCGGCCGGTGGTGCAAGCCTGGCGTTCAACAAATAAGCGATTGTCGCATTCAAAGTATCGCACCTTTCCATGAGTGCACATAAACAACCGACCACTGGAGTTAACTGGCAAGTTGGACAAAACCAAAATGCGTCAGTAGCCTTGTTTATTTGCCTTGCTTCTTGGGCGGACTTTCCTATACAGCTCGGGTGGAACGAGCCACTGCAGTTTCGGCACGTTATACCCATTTTAAGGGCTTTGCCGCAATTAGCTGAAGAGCAGATACGTCGTTGCATGATATTCGGCATAGTTGTTGTATTTTTTCAAGCACGAAGACAAGCAAGATGTCGATCACAAATTCCAAAATGACGGGCACAGCAGTAAATCACTGAGATCTCCGAAGATATCAAGCGGAATTCCACGAAACTTTCACGGATTGATGAACACACGAAACTAAAAAGTTTGGTGCACAACTAACACAGCAACACACGTAAAATACAGTAATTCCAGAGAAAAAGCAGGATCCAGCGCGTGGTAGCAGAAAATTCCGCGGCGTCCGTGGGTACAGCAACAGGGGAGTGGTTATTGATCACAAAATAAGTGAGAAACAATAAAAAGATAGCAAGGACAACGCGTACTCGTGTGCAACTATCTTGGGTTGACGCGGTACAGAAATCCAGTTTCTATAGTAGTAGCGCTTATCAAATTTTGTGCAAGGGGTTTGGAGTGACTCATTCTCGAGTAGGGTTATGGCACTATCCACCGTCTTTTGTGCATTAGTGCCAGCAACTGGTGGTCAGTGGCTATAGCACTTAGTGTAAATGTGACAGAGTATCGTCAAGGCGTTTTTTTAAAGAGATAGGGTGGGTGCATTAATTACATGTTCCGGGAGGGCGTTCCAAGGCTGTGACACTCAAATGAAGAAATAGTTTTGCCGACATTCCAGGCGGCTGTACTGCATGACCAGCTTAAACTGGTGACCTCTTAGTGGAGTGTTTTGACTGAGTATTAGAAGGGAATGGCATGGGTGGGTGGCGTTTCTCAGGACCTGGTACGCCATTATGAGATCGCCACTTAGACGCCGATAACGTCCACTGTATATTCTGAGAGTCTTCAGTCTGAGTGGGTAGGGGAGGCTGGTCAAACCTCTGACGCTCTTCGTTGCCCCAAGTTGTGCAGTTTCGAGCGCAGAGAGAAGGTGCTTGAGCCAGGGTTGTCACGCTTAAATAGCGTATTCTGCGTGCGACCTCACGTACGCACTAAGCATTTTTGGAAAGACTGAAGAGTCAAACTTCCCGAAAACTCTGCGAAGAAGGCCGAGGTACTGGTTCGCTATCTTAGCTGCCTTTTCAGTCTGCCTCAAACAACCGAGGTTTTATTGAACTATCACGACGAGGTCGCACTCGTGAGAAGTCCGCTGTAGAATTTGCGATCTTAGGCGGTACTTGTGCATACTCTTTTATCGTATGCTGAAAACTTTGCACTTGGTGACATTGAAATGCAGCATGTTCTCAATGGACCATGTGTACGCTTTGTCCATGTCCTTCTGTAACACTGTGTGATCGTCCACTGCAGCTATAGTACGCCATACCTCTAGATCATCAGCAAATAGCTGGCAAAGCAACAGAAATGCTTCCGTGCTCGACAGAGGTTGACTTTTGTGCACCCAACCAACATGGCAGGGAGAGTTCAAGATTTTCTTCTGTCACGAAATGTTGTGCCAGAATCTGCGTTTAGTGCATGTGCGGTGATTGGTGATTGTTTTGGACGGGCTTTTGTGCCTGGAAATGTTCAGAAGACACTCGCAATGTTTTCGCAAAATAAAAGTCAAGGACATTGTGTACAACGTAAAAATTTGATATGATGAAAAATTACTGAAATACCTCACACAATTACGGTACATCGTATAATTTCGTGCATACATATGCTACTTTTCGTCTCAGCTTATAACTAAAAAGCTCTATTCCTGTAAATTAACACTGAAGTGATGTAGATCCTGTGGTGGATATGGTGACATGTGAGCTCTTAATAATTAATTTATTACTGTTTAGCGGAATTTCATCATAAATATTAACTTCGAAGCTACCCAGAATTTCGTTATCCTGGTACTTTACTGCATAGTTTTATTGCAGGAAATTGGACTTTAAATTCTTTCGTTAAGGGAATTATTCTTTTCTCGTCGATTATCCGAATATGCATTTTCGCGCTACAGACTGGAGTAACTCTGCCGGTTAATTACATGAATAGGACCAGGGCGAGGAAAGAGCCGCGGTGGAGTAAGGTCGACTTGTTGGGAACATTCAACATTGGTGCAGATGATGAGGTAGACAGATAATCTTAGTCGATGAAGGGAACATAGGTTAACGTACGAATAACTGGTTTTTAACAAGGCAGTGGTGGGTGGTCACCGAAAGATTAAAGGAACTGTACATGAAGTTCATGGGAAAGTTTACGCAAGGCGATGAATGAAACGGAGGTTCAGGGATAGGGTTTGATGATTATAGTCGTAAGACAGGGTTGACATATTTGAAATTATTTGGCACATAAACATTGGGGAATTTGTTATCGTGGTGTCCGTATCTCCTCTGGACCAACCATGGCATGTTTCTGCTGGATGAAAGCCTTCACTGGGGAAATGTGGTCTACGAATTTCTTGGTACCAACATCCGTCACCGTACAAACGTAGCTTTGCTTGTAACCACTTTGTTCTCGAGACAACGTTGCACCAATCCTACTTCGCACAGGCAATGGGACGCGACTTACTAATTGGAACACTAGAAGATTTTTCCAACGTTCTCTAGAACACGTGTAACCACTGTATGCTCCGAACCACTGTGCCCTCGTTGTCTGAAAAATCAATCCTGCCCTTTGGGTACTCCGTATTGATACTTACTATTGAACTGTTTGATCCGTACATAAGTGATGGAGTCTGACACAGGGCGTACGCCATGCAAAGAGATGTGAGATATTACAAACCCGACAGAATTTTAAACCCAGCCCTTAACCTTGATCTGGTAATCCATACCAAACCGCTTGAATGCGACCCCCTTTTCTTGACACATTGTCACATATTTTTGCCGAATGTGACGGCAATGTAAAGTGCCCAGTTTATTTTGTACTGCGCTGCTGTATACTCATCGTCGTTTTCTTCAACACCTAGGTCTCTGGTCGAGATGGCCAAGGTTTTCCATTTCAACGCTATTCAAAAGTAGCTCTCTCGGGACGTAAACCTAGGCCAATAGTGATCACATGCCCAGCCAAGGTGGAGCTACAACGTGGTGCTACGGCGCAGCTTTCATGTGCAGTGAACAGTGAAATTCCGTTTACAATCAAATGGTACAAGGATGGAAAGTCATTAGCTGGGTTCGCAGACGAACACACTGTATACAAGTAAGCCTTTTCACAACAATCCTTGTGTATTTGGCGTAGCTATCCTCATAGACTAAGTCTTATGATAACAAGTTTGCAGCAGAATTTGAACAAAGGTATGCATTCGGGTTCATCGCAGACATCCTGTCCCGCTCTCAGAAAGCCTTCCGTTTTTCTTCTTGCTTGCTTCGGACGTTAGAATCGGTTGTGGAAGTCAGGTGGCTTTACTGCTCTTTGTTGCCATGATACCTATAGATTGTGATACTCACCCCCATTTTTTCATTAACAAGATTACTTTTGCCTTGACCCTTGAAAGCTGGTAACTCACTTCGAGCCCTATGCATGATATACGATGCAGCTTAGATCCCTAATCAGTAACCCCGGCTATCGGACACCTTGTGGTTGCCATCCAATTAGATTTTGCAAACGCCACCAATGAGTTGCAGTACTTATTGATGGTCCAACCTTAGACGTATGCATGGCGTAAAAATGCAATGTTTATTTTCATCGCGTGGGACAATTTCTTCGTTATTTTGAGAGCAGCATAGTATGTCAGGCTCAAACAAGGCATAATGCTAATCCACATATGTTTGCGTTTCAGCAAATATAAGCAGACCTTTAGTTTTCGCTTCGGTTGACAGAATAGTGGCATAAAATCATTAGAATCGGGGCCACTATATCCCGATACTTCAGCCTGTCATCCCAAAGCACAAAACCGCAGTAAACAGTGATGATTTTAATTTACACTAAAAATATGACATTTAAAGACTGGTACAGAATGAAAAGAATAAAAATTGGGTATAAATGTTTCGGAACAATGGACTCACCTTAGGATTCAAATGAAAGTACTGTTAGTTTATTTACTGCAAGAGTCCAGTGAACATGTATTAAATCATGTAATATAGTTGGTTTAGTTTGTCCCAAAGTTGTTGTTGACTACCGGTAAATTTAGTGCATTCCAACCGGGTGTACCATGTGGTTAACTTTGACTTGTGGTGCTCCAATCTGAAAGTGTGGTTCTTTTAATATGTTTATACTTGTGTGATTGGGGTCTCTGAGTACCTGATAGGTTGCTGTAAGACCTTTCCGCATTCACGCATACTATCCACCGTAAGGTCCGTGAGTTTCCTTGCCAAGACATTAGGGAAAATGAAACAGAAAACTGACATATCTAGTGGTACTTCGTTGCAGGTTCTCAACCAAAGCAACAAAATGTTTTTAGCAAGACTGTACGTTTCACTTAGGTACCAAGCATTTGCAGAAAAATGAAGGGTTCGAAGCATAGAAATGCTCTCCGCAAACTATCTGAATGCTGCTTGGCTACATTTTATGCTTTTGTCTTATCATGAACAACCTAGGTCCATTTTATGAACTCTCCGAAATCAGTCTCATAGTAAGTGTACAGTTAAAGCTACTGATACCCATGTGTGATCAGATGATGCAAGCTAAGCCATTTGCAACCGGTCTCGTTAAAGTACATCATATTATGCGCCGCCCTCGTGCACCCTAAGAGGTCAGATTACGTTGCTGTTTGGTTGTCTATAATGTTGATAGTCCTCGTGATGTTGGTGTACTCAGCGAAGGGAAATAAATTCAAGATGGTTTCTCCCACAAATTCTTTGGTGAAAAACTGTAGATATGTAGCTGCAGTATCAAACCATATGAGACACCGCAGTTTATATTTAACCAGTCAAATATGGCTCAACCAGTGCCCTGGTTCACGTAGCGCTAATGGAAGAAATTAAATATACAGCATAGGATAGCAGCACCAATTTGTCTATTAAGTTTGTGAAGAAGAACACGATACCCCAGAAGATCAGAAGCTCTTTTGAAGTCCAGATAAGGAGCGCTAATTTCTTCCCCAGCATCATTGAGTTCAGTTCGACTAGTACAGTTTTATTAGCTATGATCTTCTAAAATCTCTCCTACTTAGTCAGTGTTTACGAACCAAGTTTGTGACCCACATTCACCTTCGTCGAAGGCATAGGAAACAGTGAGATGTCCATACAGGTTGACAATAAGAGTAATGCATATATCTCCACTCACACATGCACAAGGTTAGTGAATTATCTTCCGAGCTGAGGCTGAAAGTCACACTAACTTGGAAGGGTTGGGATGACATACAATTAGACCGCAACCAGTTGATCATCAAATGGATCCGAGCAGAGTACGGAACTGCTGGCAGTATTGGTCTGAGCGATGATTACAAGATGCTCGAGAGGTGGATGGATTCATGAACAGTGGGCTATAAAGTAGCTTATAAAGTGCGCTGCATCAACAGCACACAAGGTTAACTGTGCAAGTTTTTATTGGTTACGTAGTCCGAAGAGTTTCTTCACGTAGATTAAAGCTCCACAACACATTCGAGAAGGAAGTTTATTCTACGCACGGGTTTCAGCAAAACGTCGGTCGAGACCTCTCAGGCAAGCAATCAACCCAATAATCAAATGCGTACTTTACACAGCTGCTAAATCTACGTTGGCTATGTAAAAGGACAACAGTCTGCAGTAAGAGGGCGAGTAAAAATGAACCACAGAAATGTTATAGCAGTGTGGCTGCAGGGCGTCGTCACAAACGTGTCACTATTCCAATCTTCCCCTACATAACTGCACACTTCCAGTAGTGTTCACATCTGACTTTACAAACGTGCGCTAAATTCGATCTAAGATGTGTTGAATTCAGAACAAGAATCGGCCAATAAGCTCGTTTTCGATGAATCTAATCAGGCTGGTACATCACAACAAATAAGAATATAATGAGTTACAACATCAGATGACAGTAAAGTTCAAAGGGTAAACTTAAAAGGTCCAAGTCATCTAAATGACAAGGTCAATTGATTCGTTCACGAATGGTCAATGACTTGTCAGTTGCATGTTTCTCAACAGGGCCAGAGAAGAGAGATAAGCTGAACAAATTGTTTTTGTGCACAAGTTAGGGTTTTGGAGACGGATGGCGATCGCTTCGCCTGTTGCTTATAAGCGACATCTTACCGCTCATGTGTGGCATCCAAATACGCGATAAATTGGCTGAAAACATTGTTACCCATCGACCTGGTTGTTAAAATCAACTAGGTGTTCCAACACACAGCTTGTTACTGTTTCAGTTCCACTTGCACACAGCCAACTCCGGCAATGCTCACGGATTCTCTCAGATAGTCTCCTGGTTGTCCTTCCGATATAAGTTGCTAGACATGAACTAGTAAAGGAGCATACACAGAACGAAGTACTTGACCGAGGAAGTCTATTCTTGAGTTGAAGCCTTACGATTGGTGTTGAAGTAAAAGCCGTAAGCTTACCGCGTAGTAGATACGGTTTATGGCGTCGGATAGCCTCCTAGACGTTGCCTGCGTTATTTCATCCCTTTTGAACGGTAAGGACAGATAAATCAATTTATTTTCAACCCAATCGGTTTTAGCCCTCGATTCTCGGCACTCCATATTTCTCCGAACAAACTTTTCGGGATAGCCGTTTCTCTCAAAAAGGCCAGCTAAGAAATTCAGCTCCTCCGGAAGCGTGTCCTCACTACATCTTCTTGCCCTTTCGGTTAAACATCTCGTTAAGCTCCGCTTCTGAGTTAGTGGGACAAAAGTAGCAAAATGTATGTATTGTCCATTCCACCTGACTTTTCTGTGCACCCTGTGTTGGATCGATCCATCTGATCTGCTAATTTGGACGTCCAGGAAGACATCGTACCATGACGTTTATATTTCAGGGTATAATTAGCCTTGTTGGGCGCTGAGTTAAAAAGGGATAAAATTTGCTCTGTGCAGCATTGACTGTCTGTCACACAAAATGCATCTTCTACATATCGGCCGTACTAGAGTAATACATTTATCACTCCGCTCAGGTAGTTGTTTTCTAATTTGCTGATGAATAGATCTGTCAGCAACGGTCCTAGTGATGAGCCCATCGCTACTGCGTATTTTTGTCTATATATTCCTCCATTAAATTGAAATTGTATGTTGCTAGTACACAACATGCGTAGTTATTTCAACCGATTGTTCGAAAGGCCAACGTTCATCTGATGTGATCGAATGGTGTCGCATAGATAGTCTATTGTCTCTTCCAAAGGAACATTCGTGAAGAGCGACACGACGTCTAACGAAAACATCTTTCTTCCGGTTAGGTGATCTTTTATGGTATCTAAGAAACTGAGTGGATCACGGAGACTATACATGGTTCTAAAAGCTTGGCTAGCCACTTAGCACTTGGTAAGGTGAGTTGCACATGTCCAAAGGATTCTAAATGGAAGCCGCACCTCATGTAGATTTGCTAGGCCGTAAAATCTCGGAATCAACCTCCCCGTGGGTCAAAGTTGTTCGAACGTGGTAGAGACAAGTTTTCTTGTTTCGGGTTCCGTAGAAGCCTAGTAACAGTTTTTTCTATTGTCGCTGTTTTGTCCCTCTTATTCTCCATTTTACGGAACTTTGCGCGATCGCTGAGGGTGACCTCCATCTTGTCAATATAGTCAGCTTTCCCCATCAGAACGATCCTTGTCCCTTTATCCGGCCTAGAGAGTAGCACATTCTCGTTTTTTATGAGTGCTTTGACCGTCTAGGTGGTCATACTTCAGCAAGTACCTGAGTTTGGGTCTGTGCTTCAGACACTGATCACATGTATTAACCAGGATAGATTTAAAGTGATCGGAAGCTAATGCTGACGAGAGGGTAAACGTAGACACTTGAGAATACAAATGTTCGAACTGAACCTCTGCTTCTACTTGTCCTGAATAACTACGGGGACAGCAAAACTTCGGACCAAGTGAAAGTACCTCTAACAGTTATCCAGGTGCAACGAGAAAAAGTTGTGAATGAACTTTTCCTAGTCGGGTGGAAATTAAGTGCTTGCCTTAGTCGTGCCAACTTGTCGCTCTAATGACGCTAGACATTTTTCTTCTTGCTTTGTGATGATTTGTTGAACACACGTCTCGAATCACTTGTTTTCATCTGCGTCTAATTCGTCCAGCATGACGGAATACGCGCACCGGTTACTCTCCAGCTCATCAAGTCTCGAAGTAATGGTGTCACGCTCGTTCAACATATGTTGTTTCAAAGCCACATTAGTTGGTTTAACCCAATTTCGTCAGAGTATTTTGCAAAATGGTTTAGGATAGTTGATACGTAAAATACAATCATCAATCAGATGTGTTGGATTGGCAAAATTACGCTGTTTTTTTATGAGGTCATGTCGGAGCCCATATTATATGAATAGATAGAAACAATCTCAATCGTCTTCCCACCTCAATTCGAACTGGAGACAGGTCAATACACACAAGGTGTGCTTTAGTCTGTCAGTAACTGTTAGGACAAGCATTACTCGCCGCAACTCGGTGGCCTAAGGGTTGACGCCTCGGCTGACAACCCAAATGTCCAAAATTCGAGTGCAATCCTTTCTCTCTCTCCATGCTTGACGAATGCACTCTAGTAACTAAGCGATCATGGACTGTAGTGCGGAAAGCTGACTACACCGAATATTTACACTACCCTTTCAGAAAACACTTAATTACCCCCCAAGTATTTGCAATTTCAGAACAAGGTTTTACTATTTGCAAGAATAAATGGATACGCAGTAACTAATATATCAATTCGGACGCAGGGAAACACGATTCCCATGGTATTGGTCAGGGTATACTTGTTGTTGACAATACAGTATCACTGGCCTATAACAGTCCGCGTACTGTTCGGTTACTCCACCTCCAAGCACACACACACCAGCTTTTCTAAACAAACGGAGGTTATTCTGTCCAGGCTTTTCCTGTCCTCGTTACCCAAAATCTCAGTTGTCAAACTAATTCTTGATTCCAACCGTAAAGTGAATGTAGACCCGGTTTTGCGGTCTAATATGATATTGAGCTGTTCACCAAAGTTTCCCCTAGCTTCCTTTTATCACTCGACACTTGTCGCCAGCCTTACTACTCGACATTTTAAGTAGTTAGATGATCGTTCGGAAAGCCTTAAGTACAGATCGGTTCTGCGAATTTTATTGTAACTGCGTTTCGCTATCGACGCAAGAGCTTTCGAAGTACTTTTACTAATGCATCATACCGTCTGCAGCTTCGCCACAACCGTGCAGTACACCATCGCGGATGTAAACGAAGATTCCCAGGGAATTTATGCTGCAGAAGTCCAACCGACGGTAACTGAAACCGATTTGCAAATCGAAGGAGAGTATAAGGACGAAGTTGCTGTGGTGGTTCTCCGTGAGTAACTAAAATGCCATTTAATGTTACACAAAGTTTTTATACGTATGTCACCCAACTAAGTTTTTCATTACTGGTCTGAAGACATCAGGCTTTTTTTCCTGTTGGAGATCAGCGCATTGAAGTCGTCATGATCCTGGCAGTGCTTGCCCGGCCCTTCGCACTATGCTTGTCAATGGAACAATGCTGCACTATAGCAACAACAAGAGTGGGCATCGACGGCATTATTAATCAGCAAGTCAACTTGCAGCATGCTAAAGATGTTTATGCTTAAAATGGAACATAAACTGAGGGTTCAGCGTGTTCATGCTTCGATGTGTATAGCGATTTCGTCCTTGGACTTGGCCGAGAACATATATCTTTTTAGCACCTTAAAAATTAGTTCAGCTATTCGCAGGTAATATTTTCTAATACAATGATCGAGGTAGCCATGGTTATCCCAATCCGCAACGATATTCATTTCAAGGGTTACATGAGAGATTAGTGGTTTTGCATCTCAGTGAAAGTTGAAATCATCGATATACAAAGCTTTTGAGAAACAGGAATTCCAATATGTAGTCCTGCTACTATAGAAAAAAGCATCGCTATAGAAATCTACCGTTTGAGGATCTTTCGACTGATCTATCAGATATTTCAGTGTTGGTGGGATGGTGATATCGACGGAACGGTGGTTCACACGCGCGTGCTTTTTGCGATATACATTTTGGCATCGAAGTCTAGAGTTATGCTAAGGTAATAAAAAAGTGTTTATGTAGAGATTTTGCAAAGGCAAGATGACCCATATTGGTCAAAAATGCACCATGAAGAAATTTGCCTTGCAACCTTAACAAGCACTCGGAGGCAGAATTGATTACCAAAATCCAGCCGCCGATAAAATTGCTCTACCTTCATCCGTCTTCTTTAGCTAATTTAACCCACTTACCAAACTAACTTTCTAACAAGTCTTATTTCCTTCAGATCTTTTAAGTGACTGGTTCATTCCTTATTGAACTGTTATAGCCCCGCCTCCCCGCGTGCTAATCCCTCGGAACACCAGCGTTGAGCCCGGTTTTGATGCTACTTTATCATGCAGTGTGTTCAGCATGGACGACGCAGTTAACATTAGGTGGTTCCGTGGACTGGATCCACCATTTGAATTGAAAGATGGTCGTCGGTATCGCATCGAGTCAACACAGGAGACGGCTTTCGGTGGTCAAACGCAGGCTTTGACAAGCAAACTGACGGTAATGTGAGTATTTGTCTTGTAGGCGCTATTACCTATCTACAATTATCATTTATGTGAAACTTGTTCTGGATAGCTTGGAAAATATTTGGAACCGATCGAGAAGTCATCGTTTCAAATGGTTTGGCAAACGACCGGTCTGTGTATCAGTTAAGCTGTACAAGACTTGGCTTTTGAATCAAAAGCTTCATCAGGCGAAACACGTGAAACTTGTGTTCTAATTTTGTACCTTCCTATTACACATTCCAAAATAGAAAGTCCCTAAATGCCACACAATTATCTCTTTCACAGTGCGTTGTGCAAAACGCCCAACATGCAGATCCATCATCGTCATCAAAATTGTGATTTTCACATCTGACAGCACAGCTTATTGGTTTTCTAAATTAAGTAGTAAAGGAATAATAGACACTTTGTCACTGCCGGCAAGGGTAATAATCAAGCCGGCTTCATCAAATGGCTTTTGGTAGCCCTCTTCTTAATGGTTGTAACCAAGTTACTCAACTGTCCTTCGATACAGCCTCTTCGAAAGTTTTGTGGTATTTTTCTTATTTCACAAATTGGCTGCACCGCGGATTTCGCCTGTCTGTTGAGCTCGGCGCTTTACCTTATGAGCGACTGACTAAACCAACTTCGGTAGGTACTTTTTCTACATGAGTCAAGGAACCTCACCAGTTCTGCATTGGTAAATGACTGTACAGTGGAAGAACAATTAATAGAAATGTTTTGATTTAAGTTCGGCTCAGTTCGCTTAATACCGGAAAATGGTATTGAATTTTGTTGGGGAAAGAACAACAAGTCAACATTATGGTTTCTTCTTTTTCTTGACTGGGTATAACATATAACCGTTTGCATCTTTCTATTAGCTAGCTTGGTTGAATATTATTTCCTAGCAGATCTTCAACTTGTTTATCCCCTTAAGTGTTCTGTTAACGAACTGCTACTCTACTGATATGGGAGATAGTTGTTTTGCCCAGGTTCAATCTCATTCTAACATATTTGTCCAACTAAAGGTTGTCTCTCGTTTTTAACCCAACATCTTCCAATACAACATTTTGTACTTGTATTTTTGAAAATGTTTTTCTTTGGGACCCCAGAAGACATGGCTATCTCCACGAAAGTATTATATCACATAGTATCATGCGAACCAGGCCTCGTGTTTGCTTCAATACGGCGGATGTCGGCCCTTATATTGCCAGTCTCCGTATGGAAAACTTGTTGATAAATGGGTAATAAAAGGCGAAAAGTTGTAATCCATTTAGTGATTTGCAACAAGAAATTTCTCCCTTATCAATGGCGGTGAGGAGAACTCTTACCTTTATTCTTCCTACTGGTTCCGAGCTCCTAGCATGTTGCACTTGACCCATCCAGTTGGATTCATCCCATGCACAAGGCATGTGTTTATGTCAAGTCTTTCTCCCGCAGTTTCCTTGACCACGCTGACTTTAGTTATAGTAGTATTTTGACATCATCAAACCTACATTATTGCCTCATTATCATCTAAGAGTACCGGACAGTTAGCCTCGGCATTCCTGCTCTTGGCTCATGATCAATGCCCTTTGTGACAGCTATTACCTAGTTTATGGCTAAACCACTGAAAATCAACTAGTCCTCATTTCTGCCGCTTATTTTCCAAGTGAACGCTTGATGTTTTCTGAAGTGAACTGAAGTTTACATACGTTACTTTAATTGTACTCGTCTCTGAGTATAAAGACCGACACGCGTTGTTACAGTTTGTTCACTTAGGAAAGCAGTGATGCCATTCTTTGGAGTCAACACAACTAGATTTCGTCCAGCTGACATCACATGTTCGGATATTGACGTGCAGCCGCCTTAAGCTCTAGGGGATCCTCAGTGCTTCTAAGCCCATCTGCCTATGTCGGGATTGGCATATTAAACCTATGTTTTCCTGGAACGATACAGTATACTTGGTGAAGAACCAGCGTCGTTCAAAACAACTTGATGGAGTATCTCTGTTTATAGATAAACAAACCGACAGGTACCCAGTTTCAGATTGCTGCATTCCACTTTAGTCCTACTCAACCCACTACCTTACAGCCTCAGGAGGACTGTTGGCGTTCCCTAGATCATTGGTATTCCCTATCCTTTCTAAGCGACATGCTAATTTCCCAGTTACGCAAGAACCACCGAGCGAATTCTAGTTGCTTCAAGGGGCGCCTGTTTCCGTGACAACGATAGCTGCACATCGGCAGGTCGTAATCGAACTGAACCGAAATTCTAAATCCTCTATGTTTTATTGCCTCGCTTTGACTGTCAAGAATTAACCAGGAAGGCGGTCACCAGGAACATTCGGAGCATACGTATAGCAGGTGCGTATCGCATCCCTTTTCTAACATTACTCGTGTAGTCGTTCTGATTGAACTAGTTGTAAAAGGATGTAGACTCTTGATAATTGTGAGTTCATCTCTTACTGGCCCTTGTTGGATCGTTTTATGCTGATTGAGTTTCACAGCCATCAAACACTAAGCTTGTGTAAACTGATGTGTGGAAAATAGGTGAGTGAAAGCTGTGGTTATCAATCGCAAATCTACTTATCCACTGAAACGTCCTGTCTGTTGTTTTTGGTCTTTTAGCTCAGCTACGAAGAGCGACGTTGGCAAGTATATTTGTCAAGCAGAGCACAAAGGTGGTTCAAGCGAGGCGGAAGGATTTTTGCATATACACAGTAAGCCACATAATTTTATGCAACCAGCCGCCACGCAGAAGTGGCTATAGTCGAGTAAGCAATACAGTCTAATTTCCTACTGCTATACTAATAGAAAATGCAAACCTTGGACTAAGGTGACTATAACTAGCTGATGGTACAATGACGTTCGATCCGTACCATACCAATGCAAACTTAGTAGGTCGCATTAAGCAACTGGGATAAAAAGAGATATCGTTTGATGGATTTGGGTGCACATAACCCGATCATCAATACCCCTGTAGGCAGCATTCACGAGTACCACCGCTCAACTTAGACTATGCCGACTATCTCTGGAATTACGGGTTTGGAGTCAAAAGTACACCATCAATATATTTCCATACCGCTCACCTGAAGGCATCACCCTGAAACACGCCACAAAGATGGTCCATACAGTAAAATTCAAGCAACACATGTGAATCAGGACTTTACTACATTTTCAACAGCTTTAATAGTATAGCCTGAGATACGTATACAAAGACTGTAAAATCTTTTCTGCAAGTCTTTCATCCTTCATCATATTAGTAACAACCATGCACCTTCAAATAACGATTTCTGATAATCTTCTGTGTTCCGGATTACTTAGTGCATAACCTTCGGGAATATTACGTGGGCCCTTCTACTGGTCACCGCCACTATTACTACTGCTACTACACTTAGTACGAGCATTCTTAATACTGATCAATAGGCCAGTCAATGCGGAATCAAACCTGCAACACCTTATTTTAGGATTGTTACAGCAACCCTAAGGAAACAAGCTGCTCCTCTTGTATTGCTGCGAAACCCGACCACGGTTGACTGGCGGTGGCTTTGAATTTTTACTAAACGGAATTTCTAAACATTGCATGTCTTTCCAAATTAGTGGTTACCTTCTCTAAGTTTGTAGGAGAGAAGCTGTTGCTCTCAGGAACTTGCCATCATTGGTAACCGATGAGGGGAAGTACACTCGGGCAAAAACGGAATAGTTCGTAGAGAACTTAAGTCAAAATGAAATTGCATGATGATTGGACCCTTAGTTTAACACAATTCTCCATCTGTTTAGTACTTGAATAAGCACCAAACACGGCAGGTGCACAAAAATCCGAAAATCACCAAATTTGTTTTTTCTTTGCAAGCTATTCCCCAACTTCGAGTGGACAGTGATACGGTAAGTTTCAAGGAAGGAACTGGACTTGTGCTCACATGCCTTGCTGAAGGTTCCCCACAGCCAAAGATAATTTGGTTGTACAACAAAGTGCCCATATCGATCAGTGGCCCAGACCCATCTCGAGTTACTATACACGATGATTTCCTGGTGAGTTCCATTTTATCAATCAACGCATCTCCGCTGTTGTAGCAGACATCACATATATTTCAATCTTTGTTCACAGGAATCGCGTTTGATCATACAGCCAGCTAAAGAGGCTGATGCCGGACAGTACACTTGTGTGGCATCTAACTCCGCAGGGAACACGAGCCTAACAATCAGTGCGAACTTTATTGCGCCGCCCCAGATCGATAAACTGGAGATGTCAAGCACCACTCCAGTGGAGGGGAAACCGCTCACGATAACGTGCCACGTGTCCGGCATGCCAAAGCCCAGAGTCCGGTGGGACTTCAACGGCAGTCCGGTATGCTTGTTGATGATGTTTCTATATTACTAATAACTATCGTAAAGCAGACGCATGTTAAACTGTCACAATTTATTCCATATATGTTAACAAGCAGTTTAGCTGTTACTACCAGAATACGATCAAAACTCAAATGGCCTACTAAGTTTTATTCATACGAGTGTGTTCTTTGCCACGGTCAGTATCATAACTTTTTTCTCATCTCGAAAGCCGTTTGGTTTTCCTGAGTGAAAGAAACAACTTTCATTGCGTCCGCCGGTACACGAATCCCCATTCTAGACTGGATTCATTCATTCCTACTCCATGGACGCTTGAATATGTGGGTTCATAGCACCCTGTCCGACTCGTTATAGGTTCATTGTGGCGCCCGTCCACGCTCGGTACTAAGACCTAGGTTATTACTTGAGTTCATAAACGACCTTGCAGCAGTTCCGATGTCAAACTTTCTACTCTTGGCAGACGACTTCAGTATCTGGCGGGCAGTTAAACTAGCTGACGATAAAAATCCCTTCAGGATGATCTCGATAGGGCTTACGAATGCCTAGAGCATGCTTGAGTTCGACACTGTGAAATGCGAAATAATGAGCATATGCAACCAGAGCACCTACCAATATCTTAGTGGAGAACACGGATTTCCGTGCGCTTCTCGTGAAGGTGATTTCAGGGTGCTGGTGCAGAACGATCTCAGATGCTCAAAGCAAGCTGAGATGGCAGGGAAAACAGCTAGCCAACACTCGGGCATACTGCGGAGAGCGTTTGGCCGGTTTGATCCTATCTTCTTGCTGCAAATGCCCAATGCCTATGTGCGACCACATGTTGAATACGCCATCCAACTGTGGTGCCCCTGGCAAAAGCATGATCACATGGATGTTGAGAACCCACAACGGAGGAGGACAAAAATGCCAAAGGCTTCCTCCACCTCCCTTACCAGTTAAGACTAAAGACTCTAGGAGTTATTAGTGAACAATATCCGCTATCGCGAAGGGATCACATATTTTGGTATCAGATCCCCATGTCGTCTTATTGAAACTCAGTCAAAACACCTTACTGGGAGGCCACCAAATGAAGTTCGCGCCACAGTAGATCCTGTTGGAGTGCCGCCGCAACTTCTCATTTCGGGTAACCCAACTGTGCGACTTATTTCCGCATTTTGTCATATCTTGTGCTGCATTGCCCGAACTCAAACTGGATTGATGAAGCATTATACTACCTGGCTTACTTGATTTAACTCAAGTTGCTGGGACACACAACAACGTAATCAAATAATGTGTACACTTGAAATTTGCAGTAAGTTCACTGCTACGCGTTTTTTGTTGATTAGTCAATTTTTGACTTCACTCTTTACTTAGGGATAACTGTTTAGAGTTTGCTTGTACACCTGTGATACATCTTTTATTCTGTTGCTCCAATAGTTGTATCTAATCAATAATGGAGACACACAACTGGTGGCCCAACTAACACCAAGTTACTGGCTTTCTAGAAAGTAGTGAATCACCAGAATTATACAAAAGGGCGGGCGAAACCGTCCTAGGGCTTCTCTACCTAGAAGCAGGTCCCCTGAAGGCGATTCTACGATTAGCCTTAGTACTTCACTTGAATATCTAGATTTGTCTGCATTTTTCAATTTTCGCAACTTTTCAATCGTTTTGAAATATACATCCTATAAATCAGACCCATCCAGTGTAGTTTGTAAACGGAGCTGTAAAGCTCGAAAAAGCATCTGATCCATGCGATTCCACTGTACCTAATGATCAGACCGCTCAGTTGGACTGAGCCTCGTACTGTCGAGGAATATACCGTTTATTTAGTTATTGACTCCCGGTATAGTGCACTGATGAGCACTCCGAAATGCTTCCAGCAGATCAAGTACAAATCATCAATGGTTTTGTTCGTAGCACCATCGGTAGGCAATTGTCTCCTCGGCGAGGAAGTAAGAGTGCCATTCTCGATGTGGGTATTAGTACAGCTTCGATTTCCTACCAAAATAATAACGTGATAGTATCAAGGACAAATGGTAAAATTTCAATTGTTCTTCATTACACCAGGTCACTGCTGACTCCAAAATCCGCATAGATGAAGAGCAAGGGCAATTGGAATTGCTGCTAGTCGAACAGAGGATGAATGGCGAATGGACTTGTCTGGCTGAAAATGACGCAGGTTCAAGCAGAAAGTCAATCTCCTTGGAAGTGGGCTGTGAGTTTAGAAAATGGTTCTGTCGCTATATGCTCGAATAAGCAACCAGTTATTGTTTGACTGACAATAAAACTGCACATTTTCGCATGAGTGCTATCAAGCAGCCAGATATAGACTAAACCACTATTGCAAATCACATCAAAGTGCAATTGCAAACGAAACCTTTCTTTCACGGTTACTTGCGATCGGAATGACCAGCTTCAGAAACCGAGATGCTGTATCTCACAGCACTTGTGACTGAGAAACTAAAGGATTCATCCTTACCAATAGCTGCAGAGCAGTCAAGCGGAAACTTTATACAGTTTCTTTAAGTGGTTCGGGGTGCACTCAAAGTAAGAATTTCTAAAGCTTAGAAATTGAATCAAACCTACTTTCGATGAAATACGGTAGTAAGTAAACGTAGTGTTGTGAAACAACTTCAGCAGTTAATTTTGTGATCCATAAAGCACCAAGTGGCAGCTGGCTTCGCTACATATCCACTAATCAAACATGACACCTACATCATAAAGTAACCCACGTTTTCATTGTCGTAAACATGCTTTATGTGTTTTTAGGACTCTCGGTAGGCGCCATAAGCCCTCATAAGAATCTGCAACACTTTTCTCAACTACACAAAGACATTATAGTGTACAATATGTACAACTGGTGAGACCATCAAGTAGACTTCGACTTCAGCCTTCTTTGGTCGCGTTCCTACTAGCAACATCATGTCACTGTGGTTTAGCATTTAGGTACACCTCACAGTCGATTACATGATAAATCCGACCGAAGTGGTTCCATTCTTTCCATCCTCCTCACTGTTAGAAAGGCGATATTGCGCCTTTTGTTTTCTATGCATGCTTTGCAATTCACAAGTTTTTCGCATACGAACCTGCATTCATTATCCATTTGTTGAGTTAAACCGAAAGGCTTCCCTAGAGTACAGTCAGATGAAACACCGAATCTAGGCTTATCCAATTTCTATTGGATGGCCATCCTCTCTCCTCTTTTAAATTAGCGGGTATTGCATATTGTCTTGCATGCGCAAAACAGTGCTTTTTGGTGCATTCGGTGTTACTCGCTATCAAAACCGCACTGAGCTTCCTATTTAATCAGTTTTGATCTTCACAACCAGAGATAACCGCAGCTGGGAATCGATCCAAGGTTGGTTGTTTGATAGCTGACGCTTGCCGCAACCATTCACTTTCGAGCACTTACAGTATGTTTGATCTGTAGAAGCCAATGTCAATTCTGTCCGTGGTATCCAGTGAACAGAACCTCAGTCACAACTGTTATAGTGACCACAGATCAAACTGAAGATGCTTTTGTTAGTACTGACTCTCAACGCCGCACCCCAAGAATTATCGCTTCTTTGATTCGACTGTACAAATGGAGAGAAATGCATCTCATATTGGAACTTGTGAAATAGTAGTTAGTGCCTAAATAGCAGCCGTTAGGTTTAACATTTCAGTTATGTGTGTCGCCTGTTTTCAAGATGAAATGCTACAGTCGATCTTATCATATTACCCTCACTCTGCCTGTAGTAAGGTTGAATAGGAGTAGGCTCAAAACTCTGGGTTCCAACTTTGGTTCTCACAACTGCGTGTATTGCGTGAATTCTCAAAGAAGTTCAAACCAATGGGAAAATGAAGCAATGGTTCTATACAAGTAAAACTGCTAAAGATTCGTAGGTCCTGTAGGCTTCTCACATTAAAAAAACAAAGATATAATACAGTCAGCAAAATTAGCTTCAAACCAGTGCAGTCACCGCGGCATATGTCGTGTGAACTGTAAATGCACCCCAAGTACATAAGGATAGATGGCAAATGCGATGTTAGTGAACATGGCAACCGGTTACGGATTTGCCTGTTACTGTGGCCTCCACGGGGACAGCTGCAGGAAGCCTATGCCTACAGATGGGCCATGGGTGGCTTGCGCGGCACCACCCACAGATCCATCCACACATCCCATCTCCAGTATACACCCGAAGGAATAAAACCGAGAGGAATATGGATGGGAGCCACGTTACAACAACGAAGCCCGTGCACACTTCTTCACAGACAAGCACATGCACGCTCTATCTGGGAATCAAACGCACACAATGCGGTGACCGAACCGTAGTCTGCTCCACGCTGACTACATGAAACCACTCTTCGAGGCTAGCAGACCACGGGGACCGTGCACCCCGTCCCTTTCACCAAAGAGCAACTGTCTCCTGGAGCCAGTCTAGACGAAGTAGTTGATAATAGACAGGTAGGCACCTTGTCAACATGTACCTCAAGCGCGCCCCACTGGGGATGTCAAATAACAGGCAATCACTTGGATTGAGAAGTACAACTAATATACATCGAAAAAGCATACGGACATGCTGCTATCAATATACATTAAATGTACATATATGGTTAGCGGCATCCGGTTTCGGATTTGCCTGTCACTGTGGCCAGCACAGGACGCCTGCGCCTACAGAGGGACCATGGGTGGATTGCGCTGCACCACCCACAGCTCCAACCACACACCCCATATCCAGTGTAAAACCGAAGGAATAAGACAGGGAGGCATGTGGATGGGAGCCACGTTTCACCAACAGGGCCCGCCCACACTCCTTCACAGGCAAACACAAGCACGCTGTATTTGGGGAATGGAGCGCACACAAGGCGGTGGCTGGACGGTAGTCCGCTCCACACTGAGTGCATGAAACCACTCATTGATCCTAATACGGCCACAAGAACCGTGCACCACGTCCCCTCCAGCAACAACCAACTGTCTCTTAGAACCAGTATGGACGAGATAGTGGGTAATAGACTGGTAGACACCTTGTCAACATGCATATCAAGTGCAGCCACACCGGCGATATCAAGCAACAGCCAATCACTTGAGAGAAAGCTAAAAAAGAAAAGAAATCCAGTAATGCATAAGGAAACGTGACAAAAATTTTAAATTAATGAGCATATGAAATAAGTTGTTAACAAAGGATCCGAGATAAGTTCACGGAATCAGAAAGTATACTTTACGGAAATGACACAAACGCGAAACTGTTATCGAAATTAACTACAACTGGCTTAACCGAGTTGTGCCGGTTTATAGAAGAGCGTACAGGTGGACAATTATTTGAGAAAGAAAAGCATTAAGACAAAATTGAAAACCAACCATCTGAATTATAGTGAATTAGCATGCAAGCACGCGGTTAGTAAATCGAATGCATCGTACCTACAAACGTTGCGCCAGTTCTGCCTACGTTCTCTGAAGGACCCGTCGTCGATTCGATAGTGGTCCCGAGTGGCCTCGCTCATGGCTCACTAGGCCTGCCTGACTCAGGCACTCGCGACCGCATGTACTACAGCACCATGCGCTTGTTGTCGATGGAGAACAACCCATCGGTGCTTGCCGCTTCCGCACTTGCCGCTTCTTCTCCGCATGCATGAGGTCTTTCTCCAGCACTTCAGCAATGCCTTCAAGATGAAATCGCGCCATGCACGCCGATCAACCGCCCTCGATTCCCATGATCTGCAATCAAACTTAGAACGTGATAGGCTCACTTTAATCATGTCCTGGTAACGTAACTTTGGTTTCCCAGCATGCCGCTTCCCTATACTCAGCTGACCATATAAGAGTTGTTTCGGTATCCGCCTTGAATCCATACGGAGCACATGACCGAGCCACCTGAGATGCCTCAGCTAAAGTATGCAGTCCACTGCATACATCCCACCTTGTTGCAACACTTCCGTGTCTGCAACTCTGTCGCCCCAACCGATGCGTAAAATCCGTCGCAAGCACTGCTGATGGAACCGCTCAAGATATCGCACATCCCGCAGGTACATCGTCCACGCTTCACTGCCGTATAGAAGAACGGACAGCACCATGGATTTGTACACCATCATCTTCGTGCCAATGGTAAGCTGATGGTTGTTCCACACTCGGTCCTCTAGCTTCCTGAATGCCGCCGCTAACTTCGACACGCGGATACGAAGCTCACTGTGTATCTGCTGATCAGTCGACATCACAGTCCCAAGGTAGCAGAAGCAGGAGGTGGTTTCTAATACTTCAACACCAATGCTGATTCGCGGCAATATTGAAGATTGCACCTCCGGTGAAGGCTGAAAGGGACAGACCGTTTTGCTTGTGTTGATGGTGAGCCCGAATTTGGCCGCTGTCGAAGCCAGAGCACTAGTCATGTGCTGCAACTCATCCGCGCTGTGTGAAAACAACGCACAGTCGTCAGCAAACAGCAACATACGGATAGTTGTCTAACAGACTAGAGTTCTCGCGCCGTAACGACGGATGTTCAGCAACCCCCATCAATATGGTGCTGCATACGAACACCGTAAGCACAAGCGGCATCGAAAGTACAGGACAACATTGCATGAAGATATATATAAAACAGAGCAGGAACTAAGACACAGCCTTGCTTCACACCAGAGACAACTGCAAAGTCATCCGAGGTCTCTCCACTCAGCTGCACCCTCGCTCGCATATCACTGTGCAGACATTCAATTAAACTTACAAACTTACGCGGGCAACCAAACATACCCAACACCAGCCACAATGCCTCGCGGTTCACCGTATCAAATGCCTTGGTAAAATCAACAAAAGCGAGTACAATGGCTGGTGTCGTTCTCTGCACTTCTCCTGCAACTGACGAGCCGCAAACACCATATCTATAGTGCTGCGACCCGAACGGAATCCACACTGCTCTTCCGCTACGTTAGGTTCCACAACCTGTCTCACGAGGCGGTTGAGCAGGATTCGGGCAATCACCTTGCCCACACAACTCATCAAGCTGACGCCACGATAATTCGTGCAACATTGCTTGCTCCCTTTGCCCTTGTACAGTGGTAGCACAAGGGCATCCTTTAGCTCAGGTGGCACCTCCTCCTCAATTCATACACGTTGCACCAAGTGGTGCAGCGCAGTCAACAACGCGGGTTCGCCGTATTCCATTACTTCAGGTGGGATCCAGTCAGCTCCGGCACATTTGCCGTTTCGCAGCTGAGCAAGTGCACTCTGCGTCTCATCCAGTGTCG